GGGAACAGGAAAGGCGCTTGTGCCCGGAACGGCTACAGAGTGCTCTCGGGCATGGGGAAGAAGCTGAGCGCAGAGGCCCTGGATGGAAGGAGCCTGTCCGCAGGTGAGGGGGCCTGACTGGGTGCGGCCCTCCCCCCAACCCCCGCGCAGGCTGGGAGCCGGAGGTGGCGACCGGGAGGCACCCCGCCTGGCCGGTGCTGGGTGGGGGCGTGGTGCGGCGGCCCTCCGGGGGCGGCGGCCGGGGTTCCCGGGAAGCGGGGCCTCGCCAAGCCTGGCGCCTGGGGCGCGGGCCCTCCCTCCCTCCTTCCTCCCCTCCCTCCCTCCGGCCCTCCCCGCGCCCGGCGGGACCCTGCGCCTGTGTCGGGAGAGGCCGGCGGCCGGCAGATGCTCGCGGGGCGGGGGCCGGGGGAGAGGCGGGGAGACAGAACCCACAACAAAACTTGGCGGCGCTGCGCGCGCGGCTCTCCTTGAATGACAGGAGCCCGGCGAGCGCGGCGGACGCCCGGGAGCCCGTTCCGCCGGCGGCGCGGCGCGCAGCAGCAGGTAGGAGCGCGGCCGGCCGGCTGGGCCGAGCGAGCGCGGGCCACACGGCCGCGCCCGGGCTGCCCGCTCCGGCTCCTCGCCCGGAGCCCTAGCCGCCGCCGCCGGGGAGGGTCGCCGCAGCCCGGCCCGCGGACCCTGCGCCAGGGGCACGGGCGGCCACACCTCCTCAGCGAGGCAGGAGCCCCGTGGGCTCGGGATCCGGGGGCAGGGGGCGCCTTTTCTACTCGCTGTTCGGAGGTCCCGGCCCTCGGGCTCCTCCCGCTGCGCACATCTGGAAGGAATCTGCGAGCGGATGGGGAGGGGAGGTGGAGGCACACGGCCCGGTGACAGGGACTGTGGGGGCAGGTGGAACCGGGAAGGGGTCTGGACCTCTGCGCTGAGCGCCTGGGCCCAGGGCATCCTGCGGCTTTTCCCGTCAGTTCGTCGGGGGCTCCACCGAGTCCGACGATGACCGCCTTACGGACAGAAACGAGCACAGAAAGGCAGAAACCGGTGCCCAGGGCGCCTGGGCAGGTGAGGCGCACAGCCGAGCCGCGAGACTTGGCTTCGCCCACCTCCGTGGGACCTAACTCGGGGGACGCTGCGTAACTCCGGCCGTAACCCCGCCGTCTGTCTAGTCAGCTGCTTCCAGGGGGACAGGAGAAGGGGCCGGGCAAGGAGCGTGGTCATCCCGGGTTGTGCCTGTCACAGAACCACCATCAGCCCGGGGCTGGGTCAGGGTAGGTGGCGGACTGGGACTGGCGAGGTGAAATGCCTGACCTGCAGTCAGGTGGAAGAGGGGGTGGGGTCGGCTTGGGGCTCCTGGGCTGGGGCCCAGGTTGGGAGGCAGCTGCAGCCAAAGCTGCTGGAGGAAAGCAGGCGCCCAGGCTAGGATGCAGGCATGCGAGAGGTGGCGGGAGGATGCGCCTTAAGCCACCTGAGCGTCTGCGGTGGAATGCGCTCTGCCGGGGCATGGGGCGCGAATAGGCACGTGGGGTGCGAGCTGGGAGGACCCCTGGGTGGGCCTATCCTCCTCTACTCCTCCCCTTTGCCCTGGAAAGCCAAAATGATCAGACCCCGGGCTCACAGAGAGCACAGCCCTGGGAAAGTCCTGGGCTGCTCTGGGAAGCTCATCAATGAACGGTCTGGGCTTCTGCGCTCCCCCCCCCCCCCCCCCCCGCTCTTGGAGCCCTAGGCTCCATCTTCTGTGTGCAAGGTAAGAAGTATCAGATCAGTGACTTTGTGCATCTCTGTTCTCTCTGTCTGAATCCTGGGTAGGAGGTGGCACCCGTGGGCTTATTGGAGTCATACCTAAGGGTGCTGGTCATGACTTATTTGGAACCCTAATGGCTTCCGGGCATGGTGGTTTATGACCTTTGCAACCTGTGCCTCCATGCCCAACTTCTACTCCCGGTTTACCCTGCTTAAACACATCTGCCTCTACTCACACCTTGGAGGGCTTTTCTTTCCCTTTTTTTTGGGGGGGAGAGAGGGGGACTACTGCTCAGCCTTCAAGACCAGCTCAGGGGCATGGGCAGAAGACAAACTTTAGTTCTAGTCTTAATTTTAATTAATTAATTAATTAATTGATTGATTGATTAATTGATTAATCTGTTTCTTTATTGTGTGTGTTTGTGTGCACACGCCATAGAGCATCTGTCTGAAGAGAACTTGCCAGAACTAGTTGTCGTCCTCTGCTACATGGGTCCTGGGGTTGCAACTCCAGTCACCAGGCTTGGAGGCAGGAGCCTTTACGGGCTGAGCCACCACGCCCTTGCTCTTCTCCTTTTTTAAAGACTTGTTTTTAATTATGCGTCTATGTGTGCAGGTAGGTGCTGGCAGAGGCCACAGGTATCCGGTCCCCTGAAGCTGGTGCTCCAGGCCCTTGTAAGCCATCCCAGTGAGTGCTGGACTCACATCTTCTGCAAGCGGAGTACTGCTCGTAACAGGTGGGCCATCTCTCCAGCCCCAGCCTGTTCTTCATCATCACCACCATCATCACACGCTAAGTTAGAAAGCAGGGAATTTGAACACATGATAGTGTAGGTCTTTCTTCCCTGTCTTTCACAAATTCATTCAACTCCCAGAATCGGGGGTGGGGGGCGGTCAGCCTAACCTTGAAGGACAAGCTAAGACCTCTGGGCAGAGGTCTGCTGAAGAGACGAGGTTTCTGGGGTGGGCAGCAGTGGGAGCCATTTGCATTTGAGTTTCCAGCCTGCAGATTAGGGACACAGCTCCTGCGTACTCTCGAGCTTTCTACTGCTCCAGCAAACTGTAGCCGGGAAGAGGGCTGGGACTCAGTGAGTATTCACTCAACACACGTGCGGGGGGCCGTCTGAGCATCTGCTCCGAGCCCTGTCTGTCCTTCCTATCAGCTCTGGAATCTCGTCCCTGCTTTCTATCCCTGTACCAGCACTCTGGCCTCTTTGTCCCTTACACAGCCTTATCCACAGCCTGCCTGTTGCCCTCCTCACTCCAGCATCTCCTCAGCTCCCAGGAACCAGGCTCATACTCCATGGCCTAACCTGCCCTGCACTTGTGGCCGTTGTGCCTGCTTGTGTCATTCCCAGCTCTCACCTGCTACAGACAGTCTGGTGAGCTCTGGGAGCTTTCCACACAGACTCTGGACCCCAGGCCTTCACACGCAGTGACTCTCTTGCCCTCTTGCCTGATGCTTGCCAATCAGAATGGCTAGTCAAGATTCAAATTCCTCTAGGAAGACATCCATGACAATGTTGTGCTTGCTCTGGGCCCCTGTGATCTCTATGCCTTACTGTCTCATCTCAGTCTGTGTATCAGACTCTAAAGCAGGACTGTCCAACAAATATGATGTGAACCACAAATGCAGCTGTAAAGTGTTCTAGAAGCCACATGAAGAAAAATAAAATGAGAGGCCAGAGGGATGACCCAGTGAGTAAAAGCACTAGGCATGTAAGTCTGAGTTCAATCGCCAGAATCCCCGGATACAGAAGGACACATCTGTAATCCCAGCATCCCTATAGCAAGATGGGAGGCAGGGGCATAGCATGGGGAATGCAGTACAGGCTTAGAAACAAGAGTGGAAGGAGATGCTCCTGACCTCTACACGCCCGCCATGGTATCCATTCTCTCTCTCAGGGTTCTTAATTTTTATCTTACTATGTAGCCTTGGTTGTCCAGAGAGAGGTCAAGGCCTGCCTCTGCCTCCGGAGTCCTGGGATTAAATGCATGCACTACCATGCCCAGCTACAAATAACTTTTTAAGTAAAGTAAGACAGATGAACTTAATTTTGTTTAACCCAATATATGAAAAGTATTACTCAGCCAATATAAAATGAACGAGGAATTCTACACCATTAGTATTAACGAAGTGTTTTGCATTCTTTTCTACGGTGCCGTTAAAATCCATGCACACTCAGTTCAGCATGGACTAGCCACAACTGAAGTGCTCCGTGGCCACACGGGGCAGTGAGCCTCCACGGGAGTGGACAGGGGATCATGAACCTCTCAGGCAGGAGCTTGCCCCAGGCTTCCACCAGGACCCCAGCACTCGATAGCTCCCACAAGAGCAGCATGGGACAAGGTGGAGGCCCCAGCTCAGCCTGGCCCCTTAACAGCCGTTAAGCTGGCTGACCCCACTGGGCTGCTTCTGCTTGCTGGTCTCTAAAGTAGTGACAGAAACACTTCCAGGTTGGTTCAATATAGATTGAGTGTTGATATAAATTATGTGTCCGCACAGATAAGCCTGTGGATTTTTTATGGAGACAAGCCAAAGGTGAGGGAGGAAAACCAGCCTGTCCAGTGAGTACCCTGTGTATGCGAGGACCTGTGCCTTCCCTGCGCCCCCTCCCTGTCCCCTGCTCTGAGGCGCACCCCACCGCCCCCTGACTGCTTTGGCCAGGAGACTATGGAAATAGCTGTGGGGGAGGGGAATGCCCTGTGGAGGGGTGGCAGGAGGTGGAGGGCCAGGCTCTCACTTGCACTCACTGATGTGTGGGCTCCCTGGTCCTCTGCCAGGCTAGCAGGCTGGGGCTCCAGTCTGCTTAGGGCACATGGACGGTAGGGTCAGGGGCCTGGATGTCACTCTCTTCTCTTCCTGCCCTTTCTCTGGGATATCTAGTCCTCCCAGGGACCATTTTATACTGCCGGCCTAGCTGAGCAGAGGACAGGGGTGCAGTCCACTTCACCCCTGTTTCGGGCCCGGGGCTGGGTGCGAGATGGGGTATCTGAGGCAACCGGAGCATGAAGCGGTGTCTGAAACAGTGAGGCCACGGGTGGCTCCAGCATCTTCTTGGGGATGATGGCTTGAGACCGGCTAGACCGAGAAATCTAAATGAGGTCTAGACATGGGATGGGGTGAAGAGGGGACGGCAGAATGGGTAATGAAGTGGGAGGGGACCGTGCTATGGTTCTCAACCTGTGGGTCGCGACCCCTCTCGCAGACGCCTCCCATATCAGGTTATCACAGTTCTGGAGTAACATGGAAATAACTTCATGGCTGGGGGTCACCACAGCATGAGGAATGATATGAAAGGCTCATAGTATTCGGTTGAGAACTGCTGGAGTGGAGTCATGGGAGGGAGACATTCATGTTCATTCATTTATTGAGCACTGACTGTGTGCATCTCGTGGACCTACGGATTGCCCTTGGAGGGCACTCCTATTACCATCTCTAGGATAGGTGAGAAACGGAAATTTAGACTGTTTCAAAGCTTGCCAAAGTCTGGGGAGAGCCCGAGCTAAGCTCACAGCTCTAGCCATTGGTCTCCACGGCTCACCCTCCAGCGTCGCTGCCAACTTCCCGGTTTCCCTAGTCCTGCCGTGGCAAGCTCTGGCCCTTCCTGCTGCTGCCTGGTGGGATTTCCTGAGGGAGTGTGAGGGAGCCTGGCTTGTGTGCTGGTGACTGCTCCAGGCAGGAATCGGGGGCCGGAGCCCAGGCGTTCACTGCGACGCCTCTCACTCCCCCACTCAACGGAGCACGGTACAGGGTCCTCGTGGTGGCAGCCGCTCCCGTCGCCTGGCGGCATCAGATGCCCTGTGTCCGTTGTCACACTTTGTCCTGACAGGACTGTGGGGCTGGACAGCACCCGCCTGGGACAGAGGAGGAAGCTGAGGTGCAGTGAACTGGGGGACGGGGAGGCTTTGGTTGCCACCTGTTGCAGCTCAACACACTCCAGGGACATTTCTGAGTCCTTGGGGTGCTAAGCCCTGGCCTGCGGGACCTTGGGGACAATGGTAGCCGAGTATCCTCAGCCTGTGGCTGTCCCTGCTGCACTGGAGACTGTCTGCAGGGGCAGTGGTCGAGTGAACATGTCAGGCCCTGCTGAGGTCGGCTGAACATCAGGAGCGGGACTCAGCCGGTCACAGGACGGCAGCAGGCTGTCACCTCTTTGCCTGGCTTTGGGGTCACTCAGCCTGAACCCACACGTACAGTTACCCTCAGCCCAGGTGCTGTGACTTGCAAGTGTTCACAACCCAGCTCAACTATTGCTAAGCCTCCACCCCCCTACACACAAGCACACACACACACTAACACAAGAGAGGGAAAGGGCATTTTGAGCAAAAAGAATAGCACGTGCAAAGGCCTGGAGCGAGGGGCCCCTCGTGGGCCCTAACAGTCCTGTGTAAGTGAGGTGATGGTGGGAGAGGGAGCTGAAAGAGGGGCAGGGCCCAGTCCTGGGATCCTGCACGTGACCTGGGGTCACACCTGCCGTGGGAGAGACAAACGCTTGCCACGTTGACCATGTCAGGGCAACAGGAGTTTAGCAAAGTCCGTCCGGGTCCTGCCTCAAGCTTCCTTTCTGTGAAGTGGGGGTTCAAACTCCCCAGGACGCAGGCTGATGAGGGTCACAGAAGCCCCAACAAGGACAGGGCTCTATGGCCCTTCCATCCCCTGCCGCAGGGAACATTTCCGATGAGAGAGGGTTGGCAGTCGTGAAGGTCGAGAGCGGCCAACTGCCTTCTGACCTGTCATGGCTTTCGATGGCCGTCGCTACGTGTCCCGTGGATGTGCCTGGCTGGCACGGAGGCGGGCCTGAGCCACTCCTCCCACAGGCACCATGGCCAGCGGCAGGGGCCTGCCACTCCTGCTGCTGTTGCCCCAGCTGTTCCTGGGCCCCGCGCTGGCTGTGAGGGCACCTGCGGTTGGCCGAGGCGGCACCCACGGCCCCAGCCCCGAGGAAAATGAGTTTGTGGAGGAGGAGCAGCCCGTGCTGGTCCTGAGCCCTGGGGAGCCCGAGCTGGGCCCGGCCACCATCGACTGTCCCCGGGAGTGTGCCTGCTCCCAGGAAGGAGTAGTGGACTGCGGTGGCATTGACCTCCGGGAGTTTCCAGGCGACCTGCCGGAGCTCACCAACCACCTCTCCCTGCAGGTGAGACTGAGCCGGCGGTCGCCCCCACCCCCAGCCGCCAACCCCAAGCCTTCAACATGGTCGCATAGCAGCTCCTTTCTCACCCAGATCCTCCAATCTTCACCGCTCCTCACCGCCCCCAGATTCAGGGCATCAGGACAGATGAACCTCACGGAGTCCTGGTCCCATCCTTAGGGCACCGGTGGTGTCCTGGTTACAGAGCCCCGAGGTGCAGCCTGGTTTGTGGAGGAGTCTGGGCTAGTCAGCTCGTAGAGTGTGAACGTCTCAGCACAGGCGGGCACAGAGTTGCCCAGCCGCTGACTAGATAGGGCACCACTAACACACCGTTGCAGAAGGGGATCCAATCCTAGAAGACAGTGGGACCAGAGCATACAGTGAGGGTGCCGGCCCCTGGCTCGCCTCTCCAGGGAGATCCCAGGAAGGCCGGAGAGCTGCCTGTCACTCCGGCAGTCGGGGCAGGGCTGGACAGGACGAAATGAAGGCAGTTCTTACAAGGCTCCTTTGCCCCAGTCACATACAGACTCATGTGCCTGCTGTGGGTGCCTCTGGTTCTGGGAGGGGCGCTGGGAGGGACGTGATCCTCCCCTGACTTCAGGTGTTCACAGTTCAGGGGTCGAACAGACAAGTGAGTTAAGAAGTCAAATAGAGGTGAAAGGGCTTGGCCAGCCAGGGGTGGCACACGCCTTAAGATGTGATTGAAATCACAGCACTCCGGAGGCAGAGGCAGAGGCAGAAGCAGGTGGATCTCTGAGTTCGAGGCCAGCCTGGCCTACAGTGTGAAGTTCCAGGACAGACAGGACTACAAGGAGAAACACTGTCTCAAAAAACCAAAAAAGAAAAGAAAAGAAAGAAAAATGGGGTGGAAGGAGAGGATTTAGGCTACGGGCCAGGCCCTGGATGGCTTTCCAGAGCACATGGGCCTCAGAAACCTAGACTTCCAAGGGGAGTGGGGACTTCAGGGTCAAAGCAGGGAAACCGCTTCTGCTTAGGGCACGGCTCCAGGTGGCTGCTGGTACAGGTAAATCCCTACATGTGGGCTCTTAAAAGTGGGGCTGGCACAGGTTTGCGCTGTGCCCTGTCTGCCTCAGGAGACACTTCCAAGGCAGGTGCCCCAGAGAGGGAGGCTTCACCACCCCCACCCCCACCCCCCAGCTGCTGCTGCCCTTTTTCCCCCCAGAACAACCAGCTGGAGAAGATCTACCCCGAGGAGCTGGCGCGGCTGCAGCGGCTGGAGACGCTGAACCTTCAGAACAACCGCCTGACTTCCCGAGGTGAGGACTGAGTTCCCCAGGTGAGGGACACTCAGGCTGGAGTGAGGGGTGCGGGGGAGCAGGGCGGGGCCTGCAGACCTCAGGGTGGAGGGAGGCCAGGGTTGTGTGGGGCTGGCAGGGAGGCTCTCTGATGTGGGCCCGAGCCTGCTGTGGGTGTCTGAGACCCGGGAGGTGGGTCCTGGGCCGTTGAGAGCAAATGCTTCCTGGGACCTTGTCAGAGATTCTCCAATTTGCAAGGGCCTTAGGATCCGAGAGCAGTGTTAAGTTGCTTTTTTTCCCCGAAGACAAACATAGTACATAATTTTGGAAAAACAAAGTGGGAGGGAAAAAAAAATCCTTCACAATCCCTCTACTTTGAATCATCATTGTTAAGATTTTGGTATTCTCCCTCCCCTTGTTTTAAAAGAAAGCATCTTTATTGATGTGTAACTTATATGCCATAAGCAACCCAATTTCAATGTGTTTTAGTGAGTTTACACAGTTACAGCCACGTCTGCGCCCTGCAGTCATTCACCCTAGTTTGTTTTGTTTTTTTTTACACCCAAGCCCAACTCCTGCATTAGCAGCAGCGGCTGCTTTGCTTCACTTTAGAAATTTGTTTCTCTCATGGTTGTTTGCTAGCGCACTCTCTCTGGCTGTCCTCACACACTCCGCGGAAGAGTATTCCACCGAGAGAAAGCCCGTGGTTTATGTAACTGTTCTCCTTTGACTTGGACCCGTCCCAGCATCTGGGGGTCCTGGAGCAGGAACTGGATGTCAGAGGCCAGCTCGGGGTTGGAGAGGAGCCAGTCTGACTGTACCAAGCTATCTGTCAGCAGGGACCAGCTTGGCTGCACCTGCCTGTAGGTGGGGCTGAGATTGAAGAGGGGCTCTGACCCCCTGCAGCCGTTCCCAGGGAGCCCTTCTTTCTGGCCAGAATGTTAGGCTGGGTCACTCAGTCCCTCAGCAAGCTTGGGCCACGTGAGCAGGAGAAAGATGTCAGGATGGACGCTGGAACTGATTGCAAGTGGGTGGTTCGTCTGCTCCCTTGTAGCATCTTCTTTATCCAGGGCTCTGACCTGTCCTTTAAAGGGCTCCCAGAGGAGGCATTTGAGCATCTTACTAGCCTCAATTACCTGTACCTGGCCAACAACAAGGTGAGGGACATGGAGTGTGTGTGGGGGTGGGCTTCCCTGAGGTGGGCGGGCTCCCCTTCCCTCCTGCTTTTCTCTTCCCTTGAGCTCTGTGGTTGCTCCCAGTGTCCTTCAGCCTGGCCTCTGGGTCCCTGTTGCCCCGGATGTTGAGAAGGGGGCTCATACCGTCTGCTATAACCTAGAGCATGTCTGATAATAAAGCAGCCAAGGCCTCCAGCACACACGGGCAGAGGGAGAGCCCAACATGTCACACAGGCACTTGGAAGGCTTCTTGGAGGACATGGCATTTGAGCAAAGCAATGAAGGGCAGGCAGGTTCTAACCTGGGCCCAGGGATGGCTGTTCAGTGGGGGTAGCTTTCCTGCTCCCTGGTACTCAGGTGGGAGGGTCGTTTGAGTCCAGAAACATGAGACAAGCCTGAACACAAGGAGAACTGCTTCAAAATGTATAGAAGTAAATAATAAACAAAGTATGGAGTGAGTGAGGCTGGCCTTCCCTTCACGCATGGGGCAGAGAGAACAGCTTTTCAAATCACACTGTTTCTTCTGACCTCTAATCCTTCCCCATGGGCCCAGCAGGCCACCAGAGCAAATGGCTTTGATTGCCAGGCTAAGGGCTACACAGGCTGGACATACTTTGTTTGCATAAAAGATGGAACAAGTTTCTACATTAGAAGTTCCAGGGAAGAACCAAGGGAAGGGGAGCAGATGGGCCCTCAGTGGCAGGGCCCAGAGCTCACTTCTGCACCTCTATTGGTCTCTCTGCCGGCTCTTCCCTTTCCAGCTGACACTGGCACCCCGATTCCTGCCGAACACCCTGATCAGTGTGGACTTTGCTGCCAATTATCTCACCAAGATCTACGGACTCACCTTTGGCCAAAAGCCAAATCTGAGGTCAGAGGAATGAGCCTGGGTGTGTGGGGTGAGCGTGGAAGGTTTGTGGAAAGCTGAGGCAAAGCCAGAAATGCAGGCAGACCCTGAGAAAGGGCTCGCTGGGCCATGGGTCGTGGGCCATGCTCAGGGCTGTGGTGAGGAAACACCCAGGGCCTGGCGGAGCTCAGGATCCAGAAGCTGAGACCTGAGGGGTGGGGAGGCCTCTGTCCAATAAATGAGGAGTAGTACCCTAGGCACGGGAATGGGGGGGGTTCTGAGCAGAAAGAGCAGCCTCCAGAGGGTGGAGCTGCCCTTTCTTGAAGCTGCTCAAGGCAGTATGACCACTCCCAAGACTTCCACACCAAACTTCATATGAAGGATCCGGGCTGGGACCAAACTTCATATGAAGGATTTCGGCCACTAATTTACGTGGTGACTTCTAGCAGGGTGCTGAGCCCTCTGTCCCTGACCATACTGTGGGGTTCTGAAGCTCTTTTTAACTCCACATCCCTGGGTTAAGAGGGTAGAAAAGTGCCCCAGGCCCTCCTCTCAGCCGGAGTGAGAGTTTGAAGGCACACAGCAATGCTGGCCGAAGGGCCGGGGAGCCCGGGCCGGGTGAAGACTTGGGCCTCCATCCGCAGGTCTGTGTACCTGCACAACAACAAGCTGGCAGACGCCGGGCTGCCGGAAAACATGTTCAATGGCTCCGGCAACGTGGAGATCCTCATCCTGTCCAGCAACTTCCTGCGCCACGTGCCCAAGCACCTGCCACCTGCCCTGTACAAGCTGCACCTCAAGGTGGGACGCTGAGGTGGCCAGGAAGGGTCGAGGCAGACCCAGGGCCCAGCCCAGCACTGCCGAGGGAGGGAGAAGCGTGGCCCACGGGTCTGGGAGTAGGTGGCAGGAGTATCAGCTACCTTGGGGGACAGTCTGGGCGCCTGGCCTGCAGGGTGGGTTCGAAGGGGCTCATCCCACCTGGTGCTGCAGGCCCGACTGTCCCTCCCGGCAGCCCCCAGGTTCCTCTGCACACCTCACCTGGAGCGGAGAGGTCTGATTCTCGCCTCTGCCTCTCACTCCGCCCCTCCCTCTCTCCCCTTCCAGAACAATAAACTGGAGAAGATTCCTCCTGGAGCCTTCAGTGAACTGAGCAACCTGCGGGAACTGTACCTGCAAAACAACTACCTGACAGACGAGGGCCTGGACAATGAGACCTTCTGGTGGGTCCCCGAGTTGCCCAATCCTCTGCATCGCCACGGCATCTGGAAGTGCGGGCCGGGTGGGCACTCGGCTTGTCCCCAGCTGGGCGCGGCCGTGTGTCCACTTTTCCTTGCTTGCTGTCTCCGGAGGAGCTTTGGGGCTTCCATCTGCTGCCGTTTCTGTCTCCGGGAACCAGTCACGCGTTTAGAAAAGGGCCACAGGGATGACAGGTGTGGGACGCAGGCGCCTGTCTAGCATCCTGATTCCCTTCTTTCTCCCAGGAAGCTCTCCAGCCTGGAGTACCTGGACCTGTCCAGCAACAACCTGTCCCGGGTCCCGGCCGGCCTTCCCCGCAGCCTGGTTCTGCTGCACCTGGAGAAGAACGCCATCCAGAGCGTAGACGCCGAGGTCCTGACACCCATCCGCAGCCTGGAGTACCTGCTGTTGCACAGCAACCAGCTTCGGGCTGAGGGCATCCACCCGCTGGCCTTCCAGGGCCTCAAGCGGCTGCACACGGTCCACCTGTACAACAACGCGCTGGAGCGCGTGCCCAGCGGCCTGCCCCGCCGCGTCCGCACCCTCATGATCCTGCACAACCAGATCGCGGGCATCGGGCGCGAGGACTTCGCCACCACCTACTTCCTGGAGGAGCTCAACCTCAGCTACAACCGCATCACCAGCCCGCACGTGCACCGGGACGCCTTCCGCAAGCTGCGCCTGCTGCGCTCCCTCGACCTGTCCGGCAACCGCCTGCAGACGCTGCCTCCGGGCCTGCCCAAAAACGTGCACGTGCTCAAGGTCAAACGCAACGAGCTGGCCGCCCTGGCGCGCGGGTCTCTGGCTGGCATGGCCCAGCTGCGGGAACTCTACCTCACAGGCAACCGACTGCGGAGCCGGGCCCTGGGACCCCGTGCCTGGGTGGACCTTGCTGGCCTGCAGGTACTGAAGGACTGGGCCCAGAGGAGAGAAGATGGCGGCTGTACTAGGATGGCCGGCCTGAGCCCTATTCAGCTGCTAGGATGGGTGAAAGTTGTGCCAGGAGCCAGGGTCCCCCGGGAGAAAGCCAAATGGAGCTTGTCCACATTGGATGCCCGCCGGGGAGAGCCTTAGGGTTGGAGGGTCATGGCTGCGTAGTCCAAACTACCTCCAGGTGCCAGAGCAAAGGGCACAGTGAACACAGGAGCCTGTGTCTGGGCTGGCCAGGCTGGCTCACCACACACAGACCCAGGCTTGAGATGGGTGGTCATGGTGAGAGGTAGTCATGGCTGCAGGTCTAGGTCCCTGGTTCAGGGAGAGGAGGGGCAGCGTGGGCTCAGCCTCCTGAAGTACAGGAGTAGGTGCTTGCAGAAGCTGGGCCTTGACCTTGGAGGCTGGAACATTGCCCATGTCGATCTTACCTTTCACCGGAGGGCGAGGGTGGGAGACCCTGACCAAAGCCCTCTGGGGTCAGCCAGTGGGCGTGGCTCCTGTGACTGACTATGGAGGGATGGCCCCAAGAACCAACCCGTTTTAGGGACAGTGAGGTGAGCAGTGAGCGGGTGGGATTCACCAGAACACTGAAGAGGGTCCAAGCCTGCCACAGCAGCTCTGCTCCCCTCCCAGGGCCATTGATGACAGAGCTGAGAACCTCCACAATGCTGTCACCTCTCCCTCACACCTCCTCAGTCTCTCGGGGCTCCCCTTACTGAGGACTCTAGGCCTCAGGACCTGGGGGTTGCCTGAATTCTGGGTAGGAGGAGAGGCCTACATTTTAGAGAGGCCCACAGCATGTACCCTGGCTGTGGTGGCGGGAATTGCTATCAGGACTGGGGGGCGGGGGGGGAGTCTTCAGAGAATCCCAGGGAGAGGTGGAGGCAGAGAGGAGCCGGGAGGTACCCCGAGCTGAGCAGACGGGTGAGGCAGCGAGTTGTGCAGCGTGGCTGGAATCTCTCCTCAGATAGCCCACCCTGCTGAAGGCCACACATCAGAACCTGGCCTCTGTGCTGCCCTGATAGCCGTTCCTCAGCCTGGGCCCCAAACTCCACACCTGCCCCAAACTTCCACACTTCTTGTTGCATTTCCTAACTCTGGAAGGGGGAAGGGCCACACCCACTCACACTTGGAAGCGGCCCTTGGCAGACTCCTGGTCTCTGCTGCCTGCCTCAGCCAGCACCTAACGCATCTAAAGCTCTCTAGTCACACGGCTAATGCCCCAGGCTAAACCGCCCTGTTTCTGAGCTGAGCTCCCTGTTCCCTTGGGGTCCCAGGCCAGACGCTCTGCTGTGGTTTTCAAGCCTCCCTCTGCTGCTGCCCCAGCCCACGCAAACACTGTTCCTTTGGCTGGAAGCGCTCTACCTGCCTTTCTCACTGGACACATCCGTTCATTTGTTCATTGTTCCTTCCTTCCTTCTTTAAGTCTGGGAGGGTCCCCACAGTGTACTCAACACAGTCCTAGAACTGGGGATCCCGTGAGGAACCAGGGCCTGGGCCACCGCCAGTGATAAAGTATACCTAGGACTTATCCTGAGTATCACTTTGCCAAGGAAACATTCCTACCCTTTAGGAGGGCCAGGCAGGTTAGACAACCTCCCTAGCCTCAGCCTGGGCATGTGGTGAGTGAGCAGAGAGACATCGCACCGTGGCTCTTCTGACAGGTGGCTTGCTCCTTTTGCCTGAAATCCACCCTGCGCTAATGCCCTGGAAAGCATTTCCTGGCTCAGAGCTGGGTGAGGCCCTTCCTCATTACAGCCAAGCCCACGGCTTATTTTGTCAGGCTCTGGTCCACCGGCACAGCCTGTCTGGCTTCCCGAGTGTGGAGACGGCTCTCACAAAGTCCATGTCCCTGGCCCCCCCGTGGGCACCAGCCGTCTCTGGAATGGACGAGGGGGTGATAAAGCAGAGAGTGGGGAGGCTGCCAACCGCTGTGAAGACAAAATGGGAAGCAAGCCCGGTGGGCCGGGGAGGTGACAGAGTTGGAAGTTTTGGGCTCTGCTGCAGTCCTGATGCTGGCTGTGTAGGATCCGGGCCTCAGTGTGATGAGCCTGAATCCCAGCCTGTCAGGGTGATGAAAGAGCTTAAAGATCATGGCAGGCAGCACTAGCGAGGGTCTGGAAAAGGTGCATTGGCATTCTGAAGGGCAGCAGGGGTGACCAAAGAACCAGGGTAAGTCAGTTTTCCTGCCCCACTTCCCTGGCTACGGCTTCTCGGCTCCAAGCATGAGGTGACTCAGAGCCTGGCCGGCCTGGGGCCTGCTTGTGCCCTGCACATGTGGATCCTGACGTGTTTAGTCTGATGGAAGTGACAGGTGGGTTAAAGACTGTGACATGCAGGCTGTGGCTTCACGTACAAAGGCAGAAGGAGCTGGCTAGGAGCTACACCAATTAGAACAAATCTGTGGAGTCCGGCACAGCGTGTTCCAGACCCTTTGAAATGGATTAACCTCACTGAGCTGTTTCCCCACCTGGAAAACGTGGGTTGTCAGGCCCCTCCCCTCCCTAGGGTTCTTAGACCGAAATATAATGTGGCTCAATGGCAGCCTGTAAGCTGTTGGCAGGCGGGGTCCTTGACTCCCCTGCTCGTCTCTGCAGCTGCTGGACATTGCTGGGAACCAGCTCACCGAGGTCCCTGAGGGGCTCCCCCCGTCTCTCGAGTACCTGTACCTGCAGAATAACAAGATCAGCACCGTTCCTGCCAACGCCTTCGACTCCACCCCCAACCTCAAGGGCATCTTTCTCAGGTAGGAGGTCCTGGCAGGCCTGCTTGCACCCCCCCAACAGGACGGCAGAGGGGCAGAGGCACGGGAAGCAGCTTCCAGGTGGAGAGTGGGTGTGGAGGCTGGCTTCGGTGCTGTCTGGCCAGGGCGCCCTGGGCATGCTGCAGGACCCCACAAGCCCGTGCCTGCTCAGCCCCCGAGAGTGAGCACAGCTCTGCCAGGCCTGCCGTGGCTTAACGGGATGAGAGGGGAATCCCAAAGAGCATCTGCCTACCCCCGGCTGTGAAGACACGAGCGAGCGCTGTGTCCACAGCCAGCCAGGTGGGGCTGAGGTATCGGGCACATGCCTAGGTCCCCGGAGGGACTTCAGGGAATTCAGACTCCCACAGACTATGACTTGAGTGTCTGAGGCGGTGTTGGGCCTAACGTCAGGGCTGAGTACATCCCTTACCAGCTCAGACGTGGCCCGGCCTGTGTGCCAGCCAGAGGGTGGCAGAGGCAGCTCCCGGGACCGCCACTCTGCCTGTGTAGTGCCCAGAGGGAGACCTCTCTTGCCTCGCAGTTGGCAGTCCTCTGCCATCCCCTTCCTCTGAGCTGTGGGTGCTCCAACAGGTCTATTTCCCATGATGCACCATGCTTATCCTCCCTCCCCCCACCACCACACCATTATAACTTTCTGTGGCATTTCCCGGGCACCCACTCCCTGCCCACTCTCCCTTCTGAGCTGGGTAGGCATGAGGGCAGCAGCCTGGCCTCCTGCCGCTGACCCCATGGACCACCACCCAGGTTCAACAAGCTGGCCGTGGGCTCCGTGGTGGAAAGCGCCTTCCGGAGGCTGAAACACCTGCAGGTCTTGGACATCGAAGGCACCTTTGAGTTTGGTGACGTTTCCAAGGACCGAGGCCACATAGATGAGGAAGAGGAAGAAGAGGAGGATGAGGAGGACGAGGAAGAGGAGACAAGATAGAAGCAGAGTGACACAGATCTGATCCAGGTGGGTGGTCCGCAGGATGCCCCCCTCTCGCCGCCCTCTGCTGTCCCTGACCTGTCCTAGGTTGCTGTGTGTCGTCCTCGCCGCGCACCTTCATTTTGAAAACCTGTCAGTTCGTTTGCAGGTCGGATTGCACCATGGGAGAGACTGGTGTTTGTGTGTGTGTGTGTGTGTGTGTGTGTGTGTGTGGTTGCGCGTCCATGGAAACCAGTGTGTATGAGGCATTCTGACACAGGGAGAGGAGCAGGTGCTGGGAGATACCTGGAGGTGGGGGTTGTAGTCACTGTAGGCCGGAGAAAGGTGCAGACGCCGAGGAGGCTGCAAGAGCTTGTCCGGGGCGTCGAGGGAGAGAGCAGCCACATGGACAGGGAGTTTGCGCACACATGTAACACAAGCATCTACACACGTGTACATGCATACAGGCTTTACTCCAGGGCACAGTCACAGGCAAAAACAAGTAGATGCCTGTGTGCACAAGTGCGCCTGTGGATACATGCACAGAGGCGTGTCTGCGGGTACCGGCCCACACAGGTTTACATGTGGACATGCTTATTCACACACACCTAGCATGAGCACAGACTTCTCCAGAAGCTGCCTCAGTGCGAGGAGCCTGAGGGAGGTGGACACTGCTGAGCATCACTGGGTGTCCTTGTGGCTTCACGGGGGGCCACTGAGGGAGCAGTGAGGTGGCGAGAATGACAGGGAACCCAGGGAGTGCATTTGCTCTGGGGTGGCGCAGGAGGCGGGAGGCCGGGTAAAACTCATGGAGACCGCCCTGCTTGGTACTCCTTTCGGCACAGGCGGCATGGACCACGGCATGGCCGTGGGCTCTGCTGTGGGGTGCAGGGAGGAGGAGAGTGGGTGTGGGGGCTGCCGTGGGGGTTGCAGGAGGCCGGCGATTGTCCCGTTGTCATGGGAGGGCCCGGGAGCTGGGTGGCTGCAGTCCTGGCCAGGCTAGTGGCTTGATAAAGTCACAGCAGCCCGAGGCCCTCCGCTTTCTGCCCACACAGCGGGAGGTGCTAAGCAGAGACTCGGATTCACCCATGGCTGACTTCTGCAGTGATGTTGTGGGAGCGAAGAAATGGGCTATCTTAACAGTCTCTGTCCTGGGGGCCAGGCTTGGCAAGGAGGAGGGGCAGAAACATGGGGAGGGTGCTGAGACCGGGGCAGCTGATGGGAGTTTCCAGGGAGAGAGCAGTGGTCAGAGGGCACTGTCTAGGGTTAGTTCGGACTTCAGGGAATGTGCTAGGAGTTAGAAAGCCAGGCTCTGGCCATGGAAGGAGCCTGCTGGTCATGCCACAGTTAGGATGCTGATGAGCAGAGGGGAGCTGGTGGTGGTGTGGCTGTGTGGATGGAGACGGGGCAGCCACTGATGGTAGCAGGATGCATGGCAGGGTTGTGAGCATGAAGGGGCAGACCCAGCTCCCAGGGCCAGCTAAGGACGCACTATCCTTCAAAACTAGGGATCACCAGGGTGGTGGCGGCGCCTTTAATCCCAGCACTCAGGAGGCAGAGGCAGGTGGGTCTCTGGGTTCGAGGCCAGCCTGGTCTACAGAGTGAGTTCCAGTTCTCTGGCTCTCCTGAGAAGGGCTGTGGAGTGCCGGGGTGAGGGAGCATCTTTCTCCTCTGTGGAAGTCTGGCCAATCCAGTCAACTGAGCGGACTGCTGGGAGAAGCCCCAGGAGTTCTGAACTCAAGGCCGGCACCTCCTGCTTTTAGACTCCCAGGGTACTCCCTCATTCCCACCCATGGTGGCCTGGCTTCCAAAGCCCCCTGCCTCTGACCCCCTTCATCCAAAGCTGACCGTGGCTGTCCCTGACTCTCCACCGTGTTCCACAGGATGATGGACCACCGGACTCCTTTCTGCAGCCCGGGCCTGTGCCCCAGGAGTGTCCGCTTCTGACACCCCCAACGCTGAGCCCAAGGGGCTTCTGAACACCACAGGCTGAGCGCAATCTTGTGTCCCACCCTTTTCCGGCAATGAGCGTGTCACACAGCCAGACACGTGCAGATACTGCTTTACGACCACACCCCCAGCTTGGCCACACAGAGAGCTGGCTGCCCGTGACCCTCCAAACCAGCTCTCTGCACAATCTCACACACACACACACACACACACACACACACACACACACACACACACTTTGACCTCTGAGTCCACACTGGCCTGAAACACTCAGGCAGCGCCCCTCCCCAGTGTTCTCATACACAGAGTGGCCTATGTCACCAAAAGCTCTTGCTTCCAGCCACTTCGGGCTGTCACGGTCAGCCATGCCCCTTGTCCTCTGTTCTCCCCCTTGGGGACTCAGGGTTGTCTCCTTGCTCTGAGGCCTTCTGAGACTCACAAAAGCTGGCTTTTGTTTTGTGCCTTCCCTCTGGGGAGGGCACCTTCTGCCTTCCACCATGGCCTCCCCCCACCTAGGTGCTGGGCAGTCCGACTGTGGGGCGCCCCTTTCCTGTTGTGCCCTGGCAGGTCATGGGCACTCTCTGAGGACAATCTCAAGAAGGTGTGGGAGGGGAAGCAGCTGTGGGTGGCGGGTACTGGATCAGGGGTGGCGGTGGCGGTGGCTGCATTGGTCTTTAGTTCTGCAGGGAAGTTCTGGGTACCTTTGGTTTTCTTTAAGGAGAAAAAAAATATGAGGAGATTTAAAAAAATATATCTCAAAGCTGATTTTTCCTGTTACAGAAAAATTAATATAAAGCATTACCTCTGTCCTCGCAGCCGCGCTCTATGTGTGTGTGTCCGCGCTCGCGCTTCCCTCCAGGCGCTGGGCTGGCATCTGCCAGCCTGAGGTGGGTGAGATCCAACAAGCAGCACCCCTGACCTACAGAAATGAGGGCTAGCACCAGGACTGAGGGGCCCCACAGGCGTGGCACGGGGAGGAGGGATGGGCAGAGGAGCAAGGCAGGAAGCCAGGGAGCACCCTTTCTCAGGGGGTGGAGGTCTGCCTTTAGGCCTGCGCGTTTCCGCCTGGGTCCCACCTGGAGTGCCACCTTGGCAGGGAGGAGGCAGAGGGAGGACACGAGCCCTCCGGCAGGGCTAAGCTGGGGACGGTCCCTTTAGGTATCCCAGGGAAGAGGCAAAGCACGGGCCTAGTATGCCAGCCCCAGTGAGAGGGAGCTGGGCTTGGGTCAAAAGCTGTAGAGAGCTATACCTCGCCGCCATTGGGATCTAAACAACTTCGGGGATCCCCCTGACCCGGAAGTGTGTGGTGTCTGTCAGTTTCACCAAAATGTAGGACTCCTGCTAGCAGGGGAAGGCAGCTGGCCTCCTCAAAGGTCGAAAGAGGGGAGACAGGGAGGGCCAAATGAAGGCATGCTCGGGAAGGAGGAAGTAACTGGACATCTGCTCTCTCCCAGGTGGTCAGGAACCAACCGAGGGAGGACAGCTATGCACACTCGTGAGAGGGCCATCGAGGATGAAAGGGTGGGAGGGTGTGACCTGCGGCTGGGGCCCTTCCTGGGGTCTGCACACTCAGTGGGAGGAGGGTAGATACAGTTCAAGCCTGAGGGTATGTGTCCTCCTGACCCTCCAGTGGCCTTGGGGAAGCCTGTCTCCTCCCTGGGCCTCAGCATCCTCGTGGGCCTAGAATATGACTCTACCGGCCCCCTCCCCTGTCCCACCCCCACCTCCAGCTAGAACACATTGCGTGGCCAGCGCCCTTCTCTGCCCCTTAGGCCTCTTGGGTCAGGCCCCTCTCTAAGGCAAACCGTTAACCAAGGGCAGCTTCCAATGGGATTGTTTCCTTTCCTGAGGTCTGATTCCTGAGCCCAGACCAGGTCGAGCCAGGGAAGGAGGTCTGTCTATAGTACCCCTGGAAAAGGCCCAGCTGCCATTGGGCCTATTGAGGTGGCCTGAGGTGGGCTTGTTCCTACTGTCTCCTGCATGTGACAGCTCAGACGGGCCAGTCCTCACTGGGGCCAGCAGGACAGGCTGATAGGTGCTGTCAGCTTGTGTCAGCTCAACAAAGAGGTGCTGCCCAGAGTCAGGTCTCAAACTGGAGAGCATGGCCCATGCCTTATTATCTCAGCACTTGGGGAGGTGGGGGCAGGGGGATTGCTCCTAGCAGAGTCTACATAATGGGTAGCTAGACTAGTGCAAAACAAGACCCTGTCTCAAGACACAAAAAACACACAGTCTGTTACGGACACAGTCTTGAAAACAAAACAAAACAAAACAAAACAAAACAAAACAAAACAAAACCCTTTATTTGTCACATTATTGCAAACATGGAAAAGACTGGGAACTCTCTTTACACGTTGCCACACAAGCCTTTGTGGAGGTCTGACCCCAAGGTCCTGCTAATCAGTTGGCCACAGCACCCCACCTAGGCCTCCCTCCTGTGGTCCATCTTGCCCACCTGTCCCACGAGAGTCTGGCTGGGCTGCGCCCATAGGGTCCTTCAGCCCTAGTGGATATCGGACAAGAGGTCTGGTGGACAGGAACAGACAGGCTGGAGCATGCAAAGGCCGCAGGTCTCAGCCCTGGGATGGGCCAGCCCTTCCTGGGAGGGTTGGCTTAAAACCACGTGCTGTAAGGGTAGAGCAGGGTTGACCTGGCCTGGACGCAGCTGGGCCAGGAACAGAGACAATATTGTTATATCTTCGTGAGTTGGAAGCGGTTGTGGCTTCGGGGACCCTGGAAGGAGGGCAGAGCCTCTTACAGGCTGCCTTGTCCACCAGAAGGGAGAGGCCAGGGTTCGCCGGAGTGAACATCCTAAACCTGACTTTCAGGGAGTGGTTTTAGCTCCCACGCCCCCAAACCATACAAAGTAGAGGCAAAGGCCCCTGCTGGGCTCATGTAGGAGAAGCTGTCCCAGTCAGGCCTTGGGCCGAGGAGCCGTGGTTGCTGGCCGGAGCTCGTGCATGCGCTTGCCTCTCCCGCCCTGGAGCCTCACACATTGGTCTCCAGCTCACTGATCTCGATGGTGCAGTGGTCTAGGCTGGCAGTGCCCAGCTCCTCATCCTGCTCTACCTGGACTGGGATGTGGTGGGGGCACGTGGGGCCGAGGGTCAGCTCCGAGGCCTCAGCCACGTTCTTCACGCAGCCGTTCTGCTGGGCGGCCATGATCTCCTGCAGGGTCATGGGCTGGGTCTCATAGGGGAGCAGTTTCTGGAGAGGAAACGCGCCTTGTTAGCACTAGGAGGGACTGAGGATGGGCAGCGCAGAGCCATCTCAGGGGCTGGGAGCCACCGAAAGGGATTTTCCGATAGACACAGCTGGGCAGCCTTGGCAGGGCACGAGCCTCTCTGGGCACAGTCTGCAGGCTGCAGTCTGCACCTGCCTCCTATCTTGGTAAATGAAGGACTAGCCCCGAGTCCAGTGGGGAAACAGCAGCTCCCTGCCTGAGCCTCAGTGGCTACACAGACCAGACAGCTCCCGGCTGTTCCACACATGTCCTATGTGAGAGACTGGGTTTCTCAGAGGGAAGATGTACTGTTTTCTCCCACCGCTCACCAGCCAGGGCTGGGCACCCTGGCAGGTCCTCCATGAATAGGTGTTAGAGCAGCCGGAAGCTGTGGAGGATGTGGCGGAAGGCTTCCCGGCGGGTGGGCGGGACATCCGGAGAGCTGCAACTGCACCTGGCTCAACCTTCCCACTACTGCGACCCTTTAATCCAGTTCCTCACCCTTCAGTGGTGACACTTTACCCCCAACCATAAAATTTTCGTTACGAGATTTCATAACTGCAAGTTTGCCACTGTTACGAATCGTGATGGGAATATCTGAGGTGCAGGATACGCTGCTCTGCTCCCGCCTCCCCCCACCCCGTGAAAGGGTCACGACCCACAGGCTGAGAACCACAGTCTTAGCGGCTTACCGGAGAGACACTGTTCTCACCTCAGTACCCATGTCCTGAGCAAAATCCTTCCGGCAGATGTGGGCCATGATGCCCGCCGCCAGCGCGTCACCCAGCACGTTTATCATGGTGCGGAAGCGGTCCCTGGCAAGCCAAGGTGGGTAGTGGGTAGTGAGCAGCGGCAGCCTCGGTGGGGAACGGGGAGAGGGCCACACCCAAGTGCGGAGCGTGAGGCCACCGCAGAGAGGCACAGGCAGTGGCCGAAGGCAGGGGTGCACCCGCCCCTCCCCCCGAGGGGTGGCGAAGCAGCTCAGGAAATCCCTTCATGACACAGACACGGTTTAGAGGGTCCAGACCTGGAGTCCCTATCTTTAGAGACTTTTAGAGAGGTCAAGGGGGCTCGTGACTCTGGAAGCCCAGGTCACACAAGCAAGCTGGTGTGGGTTATCGGGGCGCTGACAGGTGGCCATCCCCCCCCCCCCCCGCCCACAGCCTGGGTGGGGACCCGAGCCGAGCACTCACAGAGCCCAGTCTACAGCGATGATGAGGTTGATGTCGTCCGTGGGCAGGCCTACAGAGGTGAGCACAATGACCATGGTGACCAGCCCCGCCTGCGGGATGCCGGCCGCCCCAATGCTGGCTGCGGTGGCCGTGATGCTGCGGAGGGAGAAGGAGGTGGCGGTGACACTGCCTCGGGCCTGGCTCCAAGGATGAGAGCAGGACCCCGGGGCCTCGGGGGGCAGCCAAGGGTCTCCATCCCCATCCTTGGAGGAAGTGGAGGCGGCTGGAAGACTGCCTCTGTGGGACAGAGAGGCTCAGAGACTCTGGCGGTCTACAGCCCAGCTTGCCCAGCCTCACTGTGGGCCTGTCCTTGTGTGCTGGCATTGGCCTACAGGGAGGCCGCCTCAGACTCTGTCCCGTTGCAGCGGCCTGCCCTTGACACCAGCCTTCTCGGTCCTTGGGCCCAGCCCTCACCTCTGCTCACCCTAATCCCGGAGACCAGGCCTGCCCTAGCCCTAGCACCTCTGCCCGCAGTTGGCACGTACCCATGTCCTTGCCTACCCAGGGGGCCCCTGGGGCGTGGTGTTAGCACACACCTGATAGTGATGATCTGGCCGAAGTCCAGCTCGTAGTTGTTGACCTGGGCAATGAAGATGGCAGCCACGGCCTCGTAGAGCGCCGTGCCGTCCATGTTGATGGTGGCACCCACAGGCAGCACAAAGCGAGCGATGCGCCGGTCGATGTGGTTGTTTTCCAGCAGGCACTTGAAGGTGATGGGCAGTGTGGCTGAGCTACGGGCAGAGGGGCTGGTGTCTGCCCACCACCCTCTTCCAGATTGGCCTGGGCCCCTGAAGGGAGCTGCTACCCAAGAGCCAGCTTACTGGTGCCCTGACGGAAATGCGTGGCGTGCATGCGGGTCCCCGCTGTGGACTAGCCATGGGGATGTCCTTTTCTTCATCTTTTCTGGGGAGGGATGCTACCTCGGCTCAATGCCGCATGGTATGCCAAGAGTATCTACCCGTGGGGACCCGCAGAGACCACCCCCAAGTGCCTGGACCTTGAGTCCAGCCTCCCGAAGGGTGGAGATAGGTTATTCTGCCTTGGTGGTCGATCTGGAGTAGATAGAGAGAGCCCCTGTGGTGTGAGGGGACCTGACAGGAACATGTGGGGCTGTGGAAGCAATATGGCCCCTGTGCCCATAGAGTGAGGACAGGACCTCTGAAGACTGAGAAATCTCTGGGGCCAGGGGCAAAGGAAGGCCTGAAGAACGACTAAGGCAGAGCCTTGAGCACTACGTCCCCCTATGGTCATATCACTATGGCCCTGTCGACAGCCCTGAAGGCTGTCTGAGGAGCCGTGTGGGTCTGTGCCCATGGGTGAATGATGGCTGGAGAGACGGATGGAGTTCTGTTCAGCCTCCCCCCAGCCCACTGAGCTCCTCATCCGGGGCTACCTGGAGGAGGTGGCCAACGCGATGAGTAGAGCCTGGAGGACTCCACGGATGAAGACAATGGGGTTCTTCCTGGTGAAGAGGAAGTAGAGCAGGGGCAGGATGAGGAGGCCGTGGACCACCAGCCCGCACACCACAGTCACGGCATAGAAGCCCAGCTTTTTCCCCACTGCGCTGGGGTCATCCATCTCCAGGATCTTGCCGGCGATCAGGAAGACGATGCCGAAGGGGAAGTACCTGGGGTGGCAGAGTGGCCTCAGCTTGGGTTTGGGATCCCATCCTACTGGGCACCTTGTCACTGTCTGATCTCAAGCCCCCCCCTGGCTCACACGGCCGTGAGTGAGACCATAACTGGGATGCTTAGCTGAGAGCCAGGCCCATGGCCTCACCAGTTCCCCTGGCTCTAGGTAGACCACACTTCTCTGCTTTCTCCATCCATGCCTCTGGGGATTTGAAGAAGCCCCACTCTAGCTCAACAATGTCACCCCTCCTAGGTGACGGTGATAGATCTCTGACTGAGAGGTGCCTGAGGCCTGAACCCTGAGCCAGGAGTGGTTGCTGGTTCTCACTTCCACTGTGTATTTTCTCCAAGAGCTAGCTAAGCAGGTTTCTCAGCACGGGGAAACTGAGGCCGAGGCAGCCGAAGGCAAGGCTTGATTGGGCAGGGAACCCCCCACACCTGGCTAGTCCCAGGACCCAGGCCTAGGCTGAGCCTCCTGTGCAGTTTGTGAGCTCTTCTGAACACACTGAGAATGGGTCAGAGATGTGCCCCTCCCTCTGTCCAGGCCAGGAGGAGACTTACCACCCCGCCACTGCCACGATCTTCATGACGGACTCATTAAGGCACTGACAGAAGCTGACCAGGGGGGTCCCGCTGTCACCCATGCGGCCCAGCATGATGCCTGCGGGGTCACACAGAGAGTCACGGGGGGCACCAGGCCATCGTGCAGGCATGCTGATGATAGCCACACAATCCAGAGCTCGGCCCTTGCGGACACCCCCACAGCCCCTCCACTCATGGGCGCTCTCATCTCTAGTTCGTTCTTCACACAGTGGTGGAGAACACATCCTGATGGCCAGTCTGCCTTGACCATTGCCCCAGCTCCAGCCTCACTTGCCTGACTCTACATTACCTGGCTCTGCCCTTCCTCCCCGGGCCCTGGCCTCAGGGACCTTAGGGTTCTAGGTGGCACGCTCCCTGCTGCCTCAGTAGATCTGAAGGTCTGGCTGTCCGTTCTCTTGGTAAGAACACGTGGGGAGACTGGTCCTTGGGGTCAGCCCTGTGACAGGGGGCACCACCATGCCATTCTTGAGAGGGTGGCTGTGTGGCTGCCGTCATCCTGGGGAGAGGCACACTCTGACACTATCCTCCCAAAGTTCAGCATACTACTCCACAGCTCACTCAGCAGGGGAGAGAGTGGACACCAGACCCTGGCCTGTGGGGCTATGGAGAAGGCCTCTGTCACCACAACCCACACAGAAGTCACCTTGCAGTAATAGGGCGAAGAAGAGCCTATGCCTGTGTAAGCAGTAGAAGCCAGGACTGGGATGACCCTGGGCCAGGCCTGCCCATCTGGCCTGTGGCATCCTGGCAAATAAGGCGCCAGCTTACGCCTTCCAGCTCTGTCTGGCTACTCCTGTCCCTCCAAGTGAAGTGATGTCACTTCACTTGGACATCACCGGGATGAGACTGGCTAATGAAGATCTTGTGTCCATAGGACTCAGGTGTGACAATGAGGGACCCATAGACAAGGTGACCTGAGCACCAGCCATGTCCGCATACCGGGAAGACAAAGGAAAAGGCCCCGGAGTAAAGGACAGAAGAGTCTTGATTAGAGAAACTGTGCAGGATGGCATGGCTATGCCCAGGGGTGGGCATAGGATGGCGCACGCAGGAGTGGGCACACGAAGCACCAATGCACAGTGGTAACACAGACAGTTATACTGCCCAGAGAACACTGAGAGTCTCAGACGTTTCTTTCTCTCTGCTACCTGGCGGCCTTTATTTGTTGCCATGGACGCTGTGCTTGAGGGGGAAGAAAGCCTAGTGGTCAGGTTGCCAGGTGCATGCACAGAATCTCCAGGGGCAGACTCGGGTCTTAGCCCTCTACAAGGCCGGGGTTTGGGGCGAGGCAATTAGAGCTCTGCCATCCCTCACCGTCTCCACGCTCAAGTCATTATCCAAGCGCTTCTAACAGGTTTCCCTGAGCCCTGCCCTTGCCAGCCACCACGGACGGTCAACAGTGGACGACAAGCCGGACAAGTGATGCTGAGCCACCTAACGAAGGGTCAGCACGGCTCCACACAGAGAAAAACACAGCAGGGCCAGATGTTTACCGTGGAGCGTGCCGGGCAGAGACCTGGGCTCCTGACTGAGCTCGGGGCCGAGAAGACCTGAGTGAGAACGGCATGCTTGTGGGGAGGGCCCTGGAGGATGAAAGCGGTGCCAGGGAGGAGGGACAAGGGCAATGGGCTCAGGAGACTAGAAACCCGGGCCACAGGACTGCAGGGAGACTCCTGCAGCTTCGAAAGCCCTATTTGGCTTCTGTCTGAGCTCAGCCTACAGAACAGGACCAGCTTCTTGACCCTGATGACACACCAGAAGGGACCAGAGCACACGGTGTGGGGGACCTCCAGGCATCAGTTGCAGCCACATGGCTCCAGGGTGGTAGTAACGGAGGCAGCGGGCAGGCAGGAGCCGGGGAGGGGACAATGTTGCCGAGGCCAGCTAGAACGTGGTCCAGGCGCCTCACGTACACGGCAGGACGCTGAGCGTCAAAATGCGTAAGAACAAAATGCTGTGGAAAAACCAAGGAAGCAGGAGGCAGCCACACCAGGGCTGGTTGCTAAAGGGATCTCCAGCCAGCCAGGGCTGCAGCTGCCCCGAGAGAGAAAGGGGTCCTGTGTGTGGCTGTGCTGGCAGGCGGCTTTTCCAGCAGAAGGCCGTGGAATCCGAAGCTATACGGTTTAGGGGCCTCTTTAAGAGCGAGGATATAAGCCAGGTAAATTTATGCCTATAATCCCGCTTGGCAGAGGGAGGCAGGAGGCTCAGGAACGCAAGGCCATCCTCAGTGAGGTTGAGGCTAGCTCAGGCTGCATGAGACACTGCCTCAAAACAAAACGAAACAAAAACGAACGAAAATCTGTCTTCACTGTATACGTATGTGAAATCCTCAAAAGTAAAAAAAAAAAAGTTCAAAGCAAAACATAAGCAAACCCAAGGGCATACAACTCCACACCACCACAATAAAAAAGACACATGTCTTTGAAAGTTCACAAACAAGTAAGGGACCTCAAGTCACACCCTTAGTGGCTGTGGTTGCAGGGACTTTGGAGACCCTGCAAATACTTGCACAGGGAAAGACGAACTTAGGCAAGCCACTACGAGCCCCGAGGAATGACACAAACAGCTCTGGAGAGAGAGGCAGATAGGGAAAAGCCTAGAATGTGGGGTGAATGCCTTGACGGACAGTGCCAGTTCCTCCCCGGCTACCATCCCACAACTTCAGCGAAAGGTCTCACCAAGGCCAGGGTGTGAGGAGGGGCCTGAGGGTTGGGGGGGAGGAGAGGGGAGGGCAGCCCCAGGGGTGGAAATTCTCAGGATGAGCAAGGGCTTGGAGCCCCGTTGGTAGAGCAGTAAAGAAGGGCCTGGGAGATTCAGAGGGGTACCTCTGGGGCCACTGCCAACACATACCCATGGTGGCCGAGAAGATGACAATGCCTAGGACGTTCATGCCATCGCTGGTGCCAGGCTCTGACTTGTAGACGATCTCAGGCGGGGGGGTCAGGTCCAGGGCAAAGTTCTGCACTCGCGAGCCGTTGTCTTCCTGGACCCCGTAGATGAGGACCCGCCGAGGAGGGGCTTCCTCCGGAGCCCCCTTGGGAGACTTGATAACCGGGGTGGTCTTGGTGCGGTACTGTGGGAGAGCATGCCAACCAGGAAGGGGTCAGCACACGGGGAACGCTGAAGGCACTGCACTCGTACTGTATGGATGCCCAAACGGGCTGTCGAGGTAGAGGCTGGCAAGCCGGAGGTTACCCACCACGAAGAGAAAGGGGGCACGCTGCCTGAAACGCCCTCCGGCTCTCTGCCACCACCACCCGACTCCCTCGCCCCGCCTGAGGCTGCCTGTCTCCTCCTTTGCCAGGAGCTTTGTCACCCCTCTCACCAGGCCGGTACCCATGCACCCGACAGCCTGATGCCCCGCTGTCCACCGGACAGATCCAGACCCTTCTCAGAGAGCGTTGCCAGGCCCCGGGCCTGGCTGATGAGGTCAGCCACTCAAGGTCTTCTGCCTCTGCCCAATAGGCCATTCCTAGATCTCGCTCCCTCATTCCTCAGATTCTGGGAGCCCGGACGAGGGGCAGCCGTCCCTTCGAACAGCACAGTATCAAGATGGAGAGGGCTTCCGGGGAGGGAGGGGGACCTATCCGGGAAACACATGGACCGAAAGAGTTTCACGATTGCATCTCCCTCACTGGACGAAATAGGTAGGTCCCACAGCTCCTGGCAGGTGGAGCGTCCGGCGTGAGGCTCACTGCTACTGACATTAGCACACACAGAACCGAATCAGACACGTTTCTGCCTCGGGGAAGAGAGTGGTTACCAAAAGGGGGGGCTTTGGAATAGTTTGCCGAAAGGAAGTGTTAACACAATAAAGTAGTGTATGCGCTGCAACATTCTCCATCACGGGCCGATGGCCCACCGCCCTGCCTGGCTTCAGGGCCCTGCACCCTGTGGCTGTGTTCACAGAGGAAGGCTAAGATGTCGAGGCTTGCTTCAGCTTCTTGGCTGCTCGTTTTGGGGTCCCTCTCCAGACCCTTAGCCACCTGCTCTGGGTCTCCAGCCCAACACTTATCCTGGCCCAGGCAAGGGCTTTCGGAAAACACAGGTAACCGGCAGGCAGGAGGAGGGGGAGAGATCTGGAAAGGAGCTGAAGTGTGGGCCAAACAACTGGGCACAACAGTGTTTGCCGCCTGGGGAGGGCGCTCAGGACACAGTGGGCGGCAGGGCGAACTCTGCAGGCCCGACGAGCCTAATTCCAATTTACAACTTTGATCCAGAGAAGCAATGCCATCTGCTTCCTCTCTTTCTAGATCCCGGACCTAGAGGTCATGTCGCCCAGGCTGCCCCTACTCCCTGAGTTCTGGGATTACAGGTAGATTATCAAACCTCGTCTATGCAGGGCTGGGAATCAAACCCAGGGCTTTGAGCATGCTAGGTAAATACGCTACTGACGGAGCCACACGCCCCAGGACCTGCTTCGGGTATTTTAATGTTTTCCTAATTTCCAACAGTGAGTGCTATTGTTATTGTTACGGAAGGGTTATTTTTAGAGAGAAGCCAGCCTGGCCTGAATTCATCCACCCTCTTGTCCTTGTCTAGTCATATAATTTTGACCAATGATCTACTTCTGAGCCTCAGTTTTATCATCCAGGAAATGGGCTGGTCTTACCCTTAGTGTGGGCACTGTAAGGGTGACAGGAGGGCCAGCGTGAACACCCATGTCCTGAGTCGGGTGCTCAGTCAAGGCTTTCTTCTGCCCCACGAAGTGTCTTTATGAGCAACCGGAACCCAGGACCAGGGTGTGGCCATGGGAGGTGCTAAGATATGGATCCTATCTATGTCCCCTCCCCCCTGGCATCCACCTGTAGAAGACAGGGAGGCTGCTGGCCTGTCACTTTTCAACCTTCCCCCTTCCTCTCCTGTTCTTCCCCTCCATAACCAGGCTCTGCTCACCTGTTTGAATGTGGCTTCTACCAGGTTGGCCGGGAACATGTTCCTGGGAAGAGAAGAGAGGCAGCAATTGAAGGATTCAGTGTCAGGAGAGGAGGGGAGTGGAAGGCTTCCATGAGCCTCACCTGAAGCGTTTCCTCCCCATGTCAACTTAGGGGGTCCTTCCTCTGTCCCAGGCCTTGTTCACACCGCTCCCCCAGACTGGCCCAGCATACCTGCATCCATGACTGCTTAGCTGCTAGGCAAACCAGCCCATTTTCCCTAGCCAGCTATGTCTGAAGCCTAGGCAGACCTGTGGCCTCTTTGCATGGGGGTCACCTTGGCGACTCAGACGTTTATCTTCCCATGTGATGGCCTCCTAAAGGCAAGTCTCCATTTTAACCCTTCTATCCTTTGGTTTGTTTGGTTTTTGAGACAGGACCTTGCCATATAGATTTGGCTGCCCTGGATCTCACTCTATAGACCAGGCTGGCCTCGAACTCATAGAGATCAGCCTGTCTGTGCCTCCCAAGTGCTGGGTCTAAAGATGTGTGCCATTACACATGGCTCCCCCTCCATCTTTGATATCCGTTGTGTATGTGTGCCCAACTCCAGACCAGACACACAAGTGAACCATTATGGCCATCCTTTCAGTGACTGGCCTTAGGACACGCCCCCCCCCCCACACATCAGAGCCCCCAACCTGAGGATGCTGTGTTAGGAAACCTTAAGATGGCAGGGAATGTGCCTAAGTCACGCACATGCACATCCTGCCTGTCAGTCATCTCTGAACCTACGCAGCCAGTGCCTGGAGCCCAGGAGTGTGACGGAACAATGACAGCCAGCACCTCTAGCACACACGCAGTGTTTTCCTTTCAACTTTTGGACCAGCAGTTGGCTGATTCCGTGGACATAAAACACCAGTGGAGGGCTGACCGCATCTTACTAGTATTTATTTGAAGGCTGAAGGTGGAGGGGCTTTTGTCCTGCCAGATATAAAAATATGCCAGACAAGTATAACTTGTTGTCAATGCCACGTACTCTACACACGGCTGTATAGCATATGTAGCCGTCAGTATGGCAACCCACACCATAGAGCCCAGAGCCCAGGGCAGAACCTCCCATGGCTCAGCATTGCATTTCTGTGTCATTACTGTTATGCGTTGTGTACATGAGTGCCATAGTGGGGAGGTCAGAGACAACTTTCAGGGGTCAGTTCTTTCCTTTTGCCTTTATGTGGGTTCTAGGGTTCAAACTTGGCCTGTCAGGCTTGTGTGGAAAGCACCTTTACCTGACGAGCTTTATCTTGCCAGCTTGTCTATCTGTCTGTCCGTCCATCTATCTATCTATCTATCCATCTATCATCTATTTATGTGTTCATCCATCCATTCATCTGTGTGTCTCTCATCAACTATTTATATATTCATCTATCATGTATTATCTCTCATCAATTATCTATTCATCTATCTATCATTATCTCCATCCATCTATTTATCTATTCATCTATCTATTCATCTATCTATCTGTCCATCTATCCATTTGTCTATCTATTCCTCTATCTATCTATCTATCTATCTATTCATCTTTCTATCTGTCCATCTATCCATTTGTCTATCTATCCATCCATCTGTCATCTATTTATTTGTTTGTCCATCCAATCATCTATCAATCGTCTGTCTATCTGTGCATCTATCCATTCATCCGTCCGTTTATCTGCAGACAGGGTTTCACCACTTAACACAGGCTGCCCTCAAACTCACCATCCTCCCAGGATGGTGATTTACACACGTGTGCTTCTGTGCCTGGCCCAAGAACCTCATATTTGGGAAAGCTGCTTCACAAGCCAGTGAGGAATTACAGGGTTCACTGTGAGAACTGAACGTCAGCTGCCCGTCCATTCTGAAGAGTCATTCTTTCAGAATGTCATTCAAGAATCATTCTGTCATTTAACATCTTCCACAGAAACAAATTTCACTGATGCCGAAACAATTATTTCAAGTGAAATAGTAAAATTCTAGAGGTCAGTAGGCTAATATTTTTATGACCTCCTAAATACGAAAGGATTTGCCGAGAACAAAGTGGACAAATCAACTGATTTTGCTCATTGAAAAGAAGAAATTCCCTGGTGCGCTCTGCCTGGATCCGCTGGCTGGGATCCCAGACGAGAGAAAGATATTAGTGAGAAAACGAGGGACATCCACTAAGTTCCATAACAAGCAGGATGGTGCACCAGCCTGCAACCCTGGAGCAGTGGGAGCGGGAGGAGCGGGACTCACGTCATCTTCAGCTACATCCTCAGCTATGTAATCAGTTCAAATCCAGCCTGGGCTGCCTGAGCCCCGCCTGGCCTCAGACGACCAAACAGACAAGGTCTACAGTTTAGTTCAAGGTGGCCAGTTCCACTTCTTAGTTCGAAAGGTCCAGCAGTTACATACGATGCTAACATCTGGGTCACTGGTAAGGGTGTTTAGCGACCCTCTAAACATTATGCCAACATTATGCCAAAATGAAGATCTGCAGGAAAAACAAGATGCTTCCTGAGGTTACAGTGCAAATGAAATTATAAACAACCTGGACAGGCTGGAGGATCTCAGTGGCCAAAGCTATCAACCTGAGTCTAAAAAGATTTTCAACAAATCCTGCTTTTTTCCATCTTCACCAGCTGTCTCCTCTCATGGGAGAGGCTGTCTCCTCTCATGCTCCCCCGCTCTGTCCCTAGAAGAAAGACGAACACATAGTAGGTGCTCTGTCAGTATTTGCTGCATAAACGAATGGTTCTCAAAACAGTAACACTCCAGTAGAGAAAGTCAGAAAGATACGCACAGCAATTCACTTCCCAGGAGAAGATAGGAAAATGCCCCCCCCCTTTCTTTTTGTAAAATGACAATGTGTGTGCCGGGGAAGCAAGGGAGATGGGCACCATCAGGTGGCCCCTGCAGTGACCTTTGTCTAAGAGATTCAGCAGGACACTCCCACCCCATCCTGCACACCCCTCCAAGAAGGTGACAGGCTGGGGGTGCTAGCAGCCTCTTGTTCTCGTTCGGGAGTCTGCATTTCCCGGAATGGGCTGTAAGTAATGAGCTCGAGCTCTCGCCGCCTGGCTCGCCCTCCCGTCGCTTGTCCTGGCGATTCTCCACCTCCAAGACTCAGTTCACACATGAGTGAGGCTGGGCACGTGGCTGTGAGTGTGCCTCATTTCCTGCACCTCCTCCCCTGCGACTGAGGCCAGGAGCTGCGGCATTTGTACTCCTGCTAAGAGTCGGGCTCCGTGGACACATCTGGCCAGAGGAGGAGGCTGAGGAGCTGCCAAGGGGAAGGCTCTGTGTCCCGTGACCCAAGTCACTCAGCCTCCCCCAGGGGGAGAAGCAGAGGGCAGGAACTGGGTATCAGGCCTTTCCTGATGGCAGCTAACGTCTGCCATCAGACTGCACTGATTGCCAACCAGTGTAAATTGAACATCTCTCTGGCACCAGCCCCAGGGGGTTCTCGGTGGCTATCGCTAATGACTTTAAAGAAAAGACTCTAGCCTGGGCAGAACTGAGAAACTGAGCGTGTACATTCGTTCAAGACTTCCTTCAGTGAGAGGCCACTTTTTCAAGATGGGCCATGGTCCTTGCTTTGGGAGGCCTGTCAGGGTCAGAGACTCAGGGCCTGGCCATCAAGCCCTGATTCCCATCCTCTCTTGTCCATAATAGGACAGCTCCAGAGACGTGGGAGGAAGTCAAGTCGCTAAACTCTATCCCTGAAGAATGGCTTTAGGGTAGAACCCTTGGTGTCCTTTCTTCCAACTTTCTTCACTCTTCCTGGAATACAGATAACATAGCTGGAGCTTGCGCAGCCTTTTTGGATCATAAGACTCACTGCATCTCACTGATGCTGAGATCCAAGGGCTAAATAAACAAGCGAGAACACAGGCCAAGCCTGAGTCCCTGGAGACAAGGGACGGTGCACTTCTGAGAAAAAGCAAGCCCTGCCCCTCACAAAGCCTCCAGTTCTCAGCTGCAGTACAGACTCATCTTAGTCACTGACAGACTTGCCAGGCAGACTCTTAAATGAGCCATGCTTTTGCTGGGCGGGGGTTGCACACGCCTTTAATCCCAGCACTTAGGAGGCAGAGGCAGGTGGACCCCTGTCACTTCGAGGCCAGCCTGGTCTACAGAGTGAATCCCAGGATAGCCAAGGCTACAAACAGAAACCCTGTCTTCTTGAAAAAAAAAAAAAAAAAGAAAAGAAAAGAGAACCGTTTTTTTATATTATTAATTTGTAAAATGTTCATTTTCTTTTGGTTCTAGACTCTTGCAGGGGTATTCCTTCTTTATCCCATGAGGCCTGTGCCCTGGTTGAGGCTACATAAAACATAAAACAGACTGTGGCGAGGGACATAAACAGTCAAACCTGCAACTTCTAGCATCTAGCCTGAGCTCCCTGCTTAGGCCACCCTCCATTCCTGCTGTTTGTACTTTCTCACTGAGATGGTTGCAAACACACTCCCAATCCCTGCCTTGCCCCGCACCAAGGCCCAAAGGTGGGGACCGCTCCTTTTCAAGCACAGCTCCTGAGAGACTCATCCAGCCTCTGGGATGCTAACAGGGTGCCTCGAACGGAGCCAAGTTATTACTTAATCTCCATGGTGTTTTAACAAGGTGGAAAAAGCAGCAGCCAGCTCTGATTAGCTCTCTGCCTGGACTTCCTGAGGCCGAGCTGGGAGCCGATGTCAGGGTTTTCTCACTTGGAGCCCTGGGAAATGAACTGATGACTTGGCAGGTCAGCCAGGGACACGGTCTGCCTTGATCCGGAATCACCGCTGAGACACGAGCACACAGCTTTGGTTTCCCTGTGTGACCAGCCTCTTGGCCTTTCTGATATTCCACATTGTCACTGTGTCCCCAGGTCTCCAGGGTCTCCGTCCTGGTCATCGGTGTTCTCATCTGGTCACCAGCATGTAGCAGACACTTGCTGTGGGCTTCTCGGGTCTCCCCTCCTTTCATTCCAGAGCCTCAGAGACTGGGGTTCCACTCACCTTCTCCCCTGACTTTTGGGCATGGTGGTCCTGATGGGAGGATTCTGATCTGCTCCTCCAGCTCTGGGCACCAGGAGATGGTGCTTAAAGGCAGGCTGAATGGAGCATGCATGGCCCGGGCATCCTGTGCCCCAAGCGATAGCTCTCTACCCTCCCTGCTCTGCTTCACCCTGCCTGGCTTCTCCAATGCCTCATTTCTTTCTTTCCCTGTTTTGTTTCTTTGTTTTCTGGTGATAGGGATTAAACTTGGAGCCCTATGAGACTAGGCCCGTATCCTACCGCTGAACTCCACCCAGCATTCCATGTCCAAGGTCTGAAAGGCAACGCAGACCTGGCCTTCACAGTGTTGGAGGCTGAGCTCTGTCATGCTGCCCCGTTACCCACCTCCAGGAGTCTCTGATCACGCCCCAACAGCCTCTTGCTGGCTGTGGGTCTTGTGCGTGCAACTACAGGACCAGAAGGGACCCTGGAAAGGAGAAGCACCCACCCAAGGCCACAGTGGCTTCTGATTGACAGCAGAAGAGAGGGGAGAGGGAAGACTTCAGGACTCATCCCCCAGGAAGCCTGTGACCCTCCCAGAAACCCTGAGATGTGGTGCCCAGCCACACAGCTTTGCAGAGGCTCAGAGCACAAGGATTGATTTCACCGTGCGAGGAGCCCCTGAGACCAGACCCACGATGGAACATTTGACCCTGACACACGTGTGGGACCCAGAGCCTGGCCGCCCTGAGCGGGGCAAGGCAAGTGGGGAGGGCCGGGCTCCCCACATATCAACCGCTTTTGCCACCCCGTGGAAAAGCTGTTTTGAATCAGGGTCCGAGAAACGATGGCTCTCAGGAAAATAATCTTAGAAGGTCTCGCAAAATGGCCTCAAATACGCCTATTCTCCTGCTGTGCCTCCTGCCCCTGTCAGCCCCACCAGGAAGCCTGCAGAGTTGCCAAGGACCACTACGTCCTCTGGGCCTCTGCTCCAAGCTTGGCACATGCTTTTTCTGAATGGCAGAGGCTTCTCCCAAGACTTACACCCTAGCAGCACTGTCGACACAACAACCTTACTGTGACGTGCCTGCTATCGCCAGAGGTGGGACGGTGACAGGAAGAAATAAAGAAATCTGGGGGTCAGGTAGTTGAGAGGGGCTCGCAGAAGAACTCAGCCAAGCAAAGATAAAAGAGACGCCACAGCAGGAAACCGGGCCTGAGCAGAGACCTCTGGGAAGGACAGAGTCACGCTCACTCACCAGGAAAGGCAGGGACGGCACGAAGACAGGGACACACGGGGCATGGCAGGAAGGGCTGAGGCTGGAGAGGCTGGGGCAGAGGAAGAGTGGAGCTCAGAGGCCCCAGGTGAGGCAGCGGGACAGCTGTAAGCTGTAGGGCAGAGGGGACACAGCCATGGGGAGGGCTTGTAGGTGAGCCAGGGACACAGAAGGGAAGGCTTACTGAGCCACTGGGCTGAGAACACATCAGACTGGAGCAGGGAGGAAGCAGGAGAGCCCGCTGGGCACTCCGATGGGAGGTGGTGGTGAACATGGCCAACGTGACACTGAATGGCACCTTCTGGGAGGGCCAACAGCATTCAGAGGATGGGCTGCTGGGTGTGGGAGAATGAGCACCATGGAGGAAGGCGGATGAGGCTTTTTCCTCGGACACGTTAGCTTGGCGATGTCATGGACAGTGTGTGTTAGGACCAGGAGTTCCCAAGACAGGTTTCCAGGTTGAACCAAACTTGGAGGACAGTGGTGTCTAAGGACATTCAAAGCTGTGGTATGGGATGTCATATCAGCTTGTAAAAGCCTCGTGTGTCAGTTCCATTTCTTCGACCTCTGTGGTACAAAGCAGCCTACAGAACTGTCTCAAGCTGTCACCCAGACTGCCAGCCTCCTGCAGACCCTGAGTGGGCTTAGTCTGAGTCAGCAGAGCCTCCCAGCTGATTGAAAACCCCAGCTTGTCATCCAGGCCCATCAGTTTGGGGTGGATTGTTACACAGCTGTAACTGACTGATGCATGGGGTAAGTGTTCCTGCAGAGAGGAAGAAATGCTTAGTGCTGGGTGTCCGTTCCCGGGGAGGAAGAAAAAACAAAATGTTCCTTTCCAACTCTGAGCCAGGAGAACCTCTCAGAAGCCATGGCACGCGGTTTTGGAATTAGACAGACCAGGACTTAACTCTTACATTGATCAGAAGATAAGGAGAGCCTGGGAGAAATCTGGGGAGCCAGTCAGCAGCCAGCTGCACCCACTGGGCTGTGGCGGTCTAAAGGAGAAGGCCCCCACAGGCTCACAGGGAGTGGCATTATTTGAAAGGATTAGGACATGGCCCTGTTTGGAGGAGGTGTGGCTGGATTAGAGAAGGTGTGGGCTCTGAGGTTTCAGAAGCTCAAGCCAGGCCTAGTGGCTCTCTCGCTTCCTGCTGCCTGGGGACCCAGATGTAGAACTCAGCTCTCTTTCCAGCACCGTGCCTGCTGCATGCCACCATGCTTCCCGCTGTGATGATAACCAATGGATTAAACCTCTGAACTGTAAGCCAGCCCCGATTAAATGTTTTCCTTTATAAGAGCTGCTGTGGTCCTTGGTGTCTCTTCGCAGCCATAAAACCCTACCACACAGGCCGTTCCCAGTGTGGTGTGTGTGCAGGGGCCTGACACACCCACACTGCTGGGCTAAGCCCTCCATCCTCGGGGCCACCAGCCTTATCTTTAGTTTCAAAACCTCCATCTTCAGCTTGGATTGATCCAAGAGATTTAAATGCTGTGGCAGGTTTGTGCCTGCTCACCCCGCCCCCGTTTATACTCATTCTCCTGACCGACCCCCCCCCCCCCCCCCCCCCCCCCGTGTTCCTGCCAGTCCTCCTGGTCCCATCCCATGGCCGCCACCCCTGCGCCATCCCAGTTCTGCCTTCCTCTCCTGCTGTGGTTCAAGGCCTCTCCAGAGGCCACAGGGAGCGTTCCATGCCAAACCTCGAGCTCCTGTGTTTGAAAGTTACGTTCTGGTCTGGAGCCGTGCTCAACAGCAGAGCATTTACCCAGCATGCACCAGATCCTGGGCTGGGTTACCACCGCTGCTGAAATAAATCAAATCATTTACTGTGGCTCTTAGAAGTGGACTCATGTGCCAAGGTCTTTCACTCCTGATAGAGCGACTCCTCTAGAACAGGGTACGTGGGATATCCTGATCCAGTCCTGGGCCTAGAGCTGGCACTGGTGAGGGTCAGGAGGGCAATCGATGGGCCTGTGGGAGCCTCTGCTCCATGGCAAAGTCTGAGCAGGGCTCAGGTCCATAGAGCTGGCTAAAGTAGCACTCCACGAAAGCGCTGTCCCAGGTGCCAGACAGCCTGGTCGGAATCCTGGCACCTTGCCTCCCTGCTGGATAAACTGGGAAAGGCGCACCTCCTGTTTGAGTCTTGTTTTCTCATCTAAAGGGACCAACAGAGCAAAGGACGGGCTCATAACTACCAGCCTCCTGCCTTGCAGGCTGGGTGGCCACAGCAGCTGTGAGACCAGTCAGCTCCCAGCTTTCCTCAGCCCGCTCTTCCCTCACCTGCCCCCAGCCGCAGGGAGATGGCAGAGCAGATCCCAGCAGGCAGCCCAGGGGCTGGGGCACAGAGACGTGCTACACCAACCTAGAGCTGACGTGAGCCCCCACGTTGTGTGTACCCTCTGGAGGCCACACAGGGGACCTGTACCGGGCCTGGGGATTCCAAAAGGATATGGACAGGGGGTTACCGGACAAGGTCCAGGAGGGCATCAGCTGAGCTCATGACTGGCTTCCCGCTCTGTTCGGTTGTCTCCTTCTGCGCTGCACCCCCAGGGTGGATGATGGAGACCATGATGATGCCCACAACCACGGCCAGGAAGGTGGTCCACAGGTAGTACGCCACAGTGAGGATGCCCAAGCGGCTGGAGGTCTTGGCATCCAGGGAGGCAAGGCCGGACATCAAGCTGAAGAGCAAGGTGGGCCAGGCTTGTGAGAGGCACGAGACCAAGCGCTTGCCGCTGTGCCCTCTGCCCTCATGTGCTACAGAACCCCTCCCCCTGAGTCCTCCAGCCCCGAGCCTCCTAACCTCCCTTGCTCTGTCCTCTCTCTCTGAAAGCCGGCTCTCCAGCCCAGTACAGCACACCTCTGGGTCAGCACATATGCTGGTTCCCCTCTGCATGGTTCCTCCCAGAAGCGCCCCTGCCCCTTGCTTGCCTGACTCCTCGTGAGACAGGACCAGCCTGCATCACTTCTACAGGAAAGTTCTTTCACACTGCCAGTGTCAGGAGTCTGTTCTGGGGCTTCCCCTCTGCCCTTAGCCTCCTCTCTCACAACCCTGGTTGTCATGCTGTGTTTACCTGCCTAATGCAGGCACAGGATTGAGTGCGTGTGAGAGGGGCATGTCTGACTTCTCTGTGGGTCCCCAGTGCCCAGCACCGGTGGGCAGTGAGCAGGTGGCTACCCCAGGCTCACTGAAGGAACCCAAGAGTGAGGGCGAGACGGTGACCTCGCCTGACAACTATCCATGTGACCTCTGACAAGCAAGTCTTTCTTCCGTCTAGGGGTCCAAGAGAGCCCCCTTCCACATGAGGACACAGAGGCATCTCTTCCAGAGTGTACCTGAGCCAGACGGCCTCCTTGCCTTGCCTGGCCTGGCCGGCACTGAGGTGTCTCTGCTTTGGGGGTGGGAGGGAGGGGAGTCGAGCGATTAATTAAGGAAATGCCTGCGCTTTGTTTCCATGCCAAAAGGATTTTCCTCTCAAGCCCTTTCGTTCTTTCAGATAAAGGAAGTATTTGTCTGGTTTTAATCATGTAAACAAGAGCAGATAATCCTCCCTGCTCCTCTTGCTCTCCTTAATGTCAGCCCTTTACCCTGCAGCAGCCAGTGCGGGGGTACGCTGGGTCTGAACAAGGTGCCTAAGCCAGTCCAGGGCAGGTCCAGAGCAGGCTCCATGGCAGGTAGTGGAAGGGAGGGAGGGAGGGAAGAGGGGGAAGGAAGGAGGAAGGAAGGAAAGGTGCACACTCTCTTCTCCTCCTCTGCCAGGAAGCCATATGCTAGTGTTGGACTTAGGGTTGGTCTCAGACATTAATCCCAAAGGCCAGTAATGGGATTGCCAGCCAGAGGGAACAGGGCTTCTGTGACCATTATCCAGGAAAGATTACCTCTGCCCTCCCTCAGCGGAACGCCGTGGTCAAGTCCACCTGCTGCAGGCCATTGGGAAGCCAGTCTCTGAGAGACGATGTGCCCTTATTCACCCACATTAGTGTCCTGTTAGACCAGAACCCAGGCCAGCTCCAGGCTTGTTTGATTTTGTGTCTGGATCCTGTCCCTGACCCCAGGAAGCAGTTCCTCTGGCAGGAAGCAGAGAAGGTGACAGCCAAAAACATGAGGATACAAGGGGAGAAGCTGGGCAGAGAGAAAAGCGACAAGGAAGGGCAATTTCTGTTAGGGGAGAGGGCTCTAGCTAAGATCTCAGGGAGAGCTTCCTGAGGAGACCCCAGCGGAGTTCCTCCAGGATGGGGAAGGTGTGGAGATGGGAGCCAGCAGGAGTCGGTGGCAGACGGTAACAGCAGGCTCTAAAGTAGGGGGCACGGTGCTGCTCAGCGAGGTCAGCATTTGGGGGCTGTGTAAGGTGTGGTGACAGGACAGAAAAAACAGATCACAAGTGGCCTTGAATGGAAAGTCAAGAGGGACTGGGAGGCGCCCCTGGGTGCAGAGGAGAGGGAGCAGGCCATTGTTCCCCAGACACCGTGTCCAACAATGTCTGTGAGAAAAGACAGAAGGAAAGAGTCTCAATCTAGGTGGAGGGGAAAGGGAGGTCCCAGGGTGAACTAGGCACCCCCCTGAAGCCACTGGAATGGGCAGAAGCGACATTTTGGACCTCAGATAAAAGGATGTCTGAGTGCCATTGTGCTTGGCAGCCACCGTAAAGGACAGAGCCGTCGCTGGAAAAGCAGTCCTAACGTATTGCGAAGTGGAAAAGTGATGTAGCAACAAGGTGCCCCAGAGCCTCTTGGGAAATAGACCCCTCTCTGACTTGCAGTCCAGATTTACAGCTTGAAGGATTATGGGCACGATGAGAACCAGATTTCCAAAGGGCAGAGGCTCCTGAGGAGCCAGTGAGGTATACCAACTCGGAAACCTAGATGTGGGAGGCCGGGAGAAAATGCAAACAGTCACGATTTGAGGACATGGTGCCCCCACCCCAGGTTGCACCGCTGCCTGAAAGGACGTGATGAGAGTTCTACGTGAGGCCATGCCACCCTGCTCAGAGCCTGCCACACCCTAGCTCACTCCCCATCCAACCAATGGGACTGGGGAGCTGAAGTGAGGCAGGTGACAATAGCCAAGAGAGCAGGCAGCTCCCCAGGCTGGTGCTGGCAGCGGCCAAGGCGACAGCAACCAGCAGCAGCGGCCATCGAGACTGGGAAGAAAGTTCCAGGAAAAGCACAGACCCTGTGTGAGACCAGAACCACTCCTGAAACCGCTGGACACAAGGAGTGTGGTGGGAGGTCCTACCTTTGGTCTTCGGAGGTCCCTCCGGATGGCGAGCTCCTTAAGGGCTGAGACTAGAGAGCAGTGGGCCTCACCCTTCCTAATGCTGCACCCCTTTAATACGGTTCCTCATGCTCTGGTGACCCCCCCAACATAAAACTATTTTGTTGCTACTTCATGACTGTAGTTTTGCCACTGTTATGAATTGTACTGGGAATATCTGATATGTGGGATATTTGATACGTGACCCCTGCGAAAGGGTCTGTCGACTCCCATAGTGATTGCGACCGACCCCCACGCTGCTAAACTGACAAGTTAGGGGGCATTGGGGCTTGGGGGAAGAGTTAAGCTACATGGACGCTTGCACACGTGTGGCTAAGGGGAGTGGCAGTTTTCCAAGTGGACGGAGAAGGGCCATTGGTACTTTGCTTTTTCTCTTTCTCTGTTTTCTCTCTTATGTCCAGAATGAGCACGTTTGTGTGGGAGAAGACACAGCCAGACACTCTGCCTGGCAGCTACAGAAGCCGCTGTTTGCCAGGAGCTTTTCAGTTCCCCACAGACTTGCGTGTCTGTCTCATTCTGCTCTTCACCAGCCCTGTAGGTCAGCGCGGCACCCGAGGAACCTGATGTCCAAGCCACTCGTCAGCATTTAGATTTGCTAGTAGCTATTCATTTATTTTTAGAGGCTAGCCTCAAACTCCTTGGAATCTCCTTCCTCAACCTCCCAAGTGCTGGAATTATAGGCCTGTGTCCTTGCCCCTTAGTTAATTTTAAAAAGTTCAAAAAGGGCTGGGTGGAGGTGGCATAAGCCTTTAATCCCAGCACTCAGGGAGGCAGAGGCAGGTGGATCTCTATAAGTTTGAGGCCAGCCTGGTCTACAGAGTAAATTCCAGGACAGCCAAGGCTACCCAGAGAAACCCTGTCTCAAACAAACAAACAAACAAACAAACAAACAAACAAACAAACAAGTTCAAAAAGGCCAAGCCTGTCCAGACTACAAGAAGAAAAAGTAAAAGAAAACATGACATCTATTTAATAATACTTTAACCCAGTATGCCCAACTTTTTCACAATCAATGTGAAAAAATTTTTATGCTGCTCAGGCTTTGCATTTTAATTAAAATTAATCAATGAATCAATATATGCACTAGCTGCAATTCTAGTGCTCGAAAGGCTCGTGGCTGTCTGTAGTGTGATTTATTTCGTGTGCCCAGCCCGTTAAAGGATCCCCAGTTGGCGCTATGCCCTTCAGTGTCAGTTGGCTCTTGGACTTGTGGGCACAGGAGAGGATACAGAGAAGCCAGCAGAGGCTGAGAGAGATTGAGTAGGCCTGGAATAGGATTGGAGTAGGGTCGGAGATTAAGGTGAGAGGAGACGGTGGAGGGAGAAGGAAGGATGAGCAGGGCTACAGAAGAGAAGAGACTGAGCAGAGCGAGAATACCAGACAGTCGGAAGTGAGTCGGGCCAGCAGAGTGAGGAGACAGTTGGTGACAGCTGAGCCAGGAGAAGCTGAGCTGAGCCTGGGAAGGTATTGCTAGGAGACAGTTAGGAGAAGAACCCATGGAGAACACACACAAAATAGCGAAGAGAGGAAAAAGGCATAACGCCAAAGCTCTCATAGCAGGCAGGCCGGCTCTGAGGGGACGGTGGAGCTCCTCAGAGTACGTTCTAGAATGAGGACTGGAACAGGGTTCCTGACCCTTCTCCCCATGGTTTCTTGGTCCTGGTCTAAGGTCCAGTTAGGGAGGATGACAACTGTCATGTGATCCATCCTATGAAATCCCTTCTCGGTTCAGCTCTCAGAGTTCTGGCTTAGCCATAGCTGTATGGGGTAGATTTGTGGTGGCGAGCTTGCCGTCGGAGGAAGCAAGCAAGCAGAGTCTAGGTGACCAGCTATGAGGTGCTAGACCAAGGCTTACAGACAGAATAGCAGGTCCCGTGGGGATGACAGCAGCCATTCCTCCTGGCTTAGGGTGGGGACAAGAGCCGGGTTGCCTGTTCCACTCCAGGCTCAGGAATGCTTCTAGGAATGCCTAGGCTCCCAGGAATGCCTAAGGTCAGTACGAGGGTGGGAACCCAGAGGCCTACAGCCCTCCCAAGCCATCTGCTTCACTACTGAGTGCCCAGGGACTGGAGATCAAGAGATTGAGGTGATTATAGACATTAGCTTATAGAGATGGTAGGGAGTTGGCCCCAGCTCCTGGCCTGCTTCCATCTGCAGGGATGGGGGAAGGGCGGCCTTGACTGCCAGGCTCTTGATGAAGGGGAGGAATGCCCATGTGCCTCACCTAGCTGCCACATCAACTCCCAGGTTGACATTGGGAACCCCCCAGTGTGCACCACATAACTGAGCAAGTAACACAATGGCGGGCAGGGTTGGAGGAGATTCCCATGAGCCCTTGCCCACTCACCTGACCCACGAACTTCACTGCAGAGAGCCTGACCTTAGGCTGTGAGTAGTGCCCTGCCT